TTATTAATACGGAGGAGATGGATTGTTTAAGTTTAGAGTTTGGAGTTAGAGATATTAATATTTGTTTACTTGTATTTGAATATTAGCCTAGGTTTGGTTTGGGAAGTCCGGGGTGGGTGGGGGGATGGGATATAACATTGTGTAATATCTGTGATGTATTTCTTTTTTTTTATGATAAAAACAATAAAATTTTATATTGGAAGAATAATATTCTCTAGTATCTTTCTATGTCAAAGGAGTTTGAAAAAAATAATATAATACAAAGTATACTATTGCCAAGCACAACTGAGTTTGTGTACATCTAATAACACTTCAGTTGTTAAAGTCACTATTTTTCATAACAGAATTGTCTGGCAAAAGTTATGCACGGCATGGTTTTATTTGAAGTAACTCAGAGCTTGTATAATTAAGCTTGTATAATTCAAATAGTTCATGGAAGAAGACATAAACAACTCAAAGATGCTCAAATACTTTAGAGATTAATGTTATCTGATATATTAATAAAATTATTGAATTTCTAATAAAGTTTTATGCAGTGCATGCTTTCTATGAAGTAAACTAGCCTAAGTTCAAAAGAAATATTCATAATCTGGCAGTTTCAATGATAAAAGGCATGATTTAATATTACTACAATTCAAAAACAATAAAGCTCTGTAATTGTTAAGGAAGGCACCATACAAAGTAAAAAAGGATTTTAAAACTGAGCAATTCAACACTGGAAATTTCTTAAGTTTTGATTTTTAAGATAAATTCCATTTGGAACATGAAACAAATCTTCTAAATTACTTTTACTAACAATGTCTGGTGAATTATGAGAAAGAAGAAGGATCTGAATTTGGATTTCAACTTCATTATTTAATTGCTTGCCAAAAAACAAAAACAAAAACTTTTATGTTCAGAAAATTTGGACACTGCCAAAAGATTTTTCACAATTATATTCCTATACCAGTAATTCTTTTACTTTAAATAAAATATATATAAAAAGGAAAGCACACTAAAAAAACCTGCAATCATTTTTATTTCAATTACCATGATTTGTAATCTTTGATTTAAGGAATAGTGTTACTTAAGAATTAATCACTATGTCTTATTTGGATTAGACTTAAAATAATTTAGAATTATTTATATAAATTCTACCTTATTATTTTTGCTTTTATTTCAGAGTGAACTGTACAACATAACTACCTTTCAGAGAGTTAGATTGACCAGTAATTAGGTTAGAAAACCAACAAGTACTAAAATATACTGTAGGTATCTTTACTAAGAGAGATAAATCAGTACCTTATCAATGTTGATGATGTTTGAATAAACAATAATCATTTTATAGTTATTTTACACAAAAATAATTTATGGGAAATTTATTTTATATCTATCTTTTACCTCAATTAAAAATCATTTATCTTACCACTGAGAATATTATGGAACTATAATATATAGCTTTATTTTTTCTGTAAGTAGACAGGTTTCTTATACAATTTGTAGGTAGATATTGTATGAACTATAATAGTTAAAAAGGAAAAAAAATCTTTTACTAAGTGACTTTTATTTTTATCATTCCCAAAAGCTGACTTCAAACATACATGGTTTGACTTTTCTATTTTACTTTTATTGTTTCAAATGTGTATATACCACTTCCACTGTGATGAATATGCACTATAAATATTTTCAAATTTAATTTGTTGAAATTAAGCTTCAGCAAATTTAACAGAATACATCTATCTCTTAAAGGACTATTGTGAAGGCCTGTTCTTAAGATTGCATGAAGTGTATGAGATAATTCATTATTATATAAGTGTTTAGCATAGGAAACTATTAATTGTAAAAATAAAGCATAAAATCTCATCAATTAAACTAAACCATATTATGCATTAAATAATATAGCGAGAAGCTGGCATTTCAGATCGCTTGACCCATATTCTAATAAAGCAGACCATATAAACTCATATGATATAATGGGGATGAATGAGAAAAACCACTTATGAAGCAATTTTTGCAGTTCTAGTGAATCTTTAGCACATGCTGCTAAAAAGTGAAATAGTGTCTATGTGAAATCCATTATTATTTATACCTCTATTTTTATGTTTGTGTGTGTGTATACCCATTTATAAAATGACCTCCAGCTGCATTCATTATCAATGAAGTTCACAGCTGACAATGAGAAAAATACACACCAAAAGAAGAATGAATAGAATTTCAGCAGACTAACATATTCTCTAAAAAGAATCTGATCTGAATGCAAGATGTATTATTAATATTTATATGATTTATAGGGTATTCTATAGTGAAAATATATAATGAAATCTACATAAGTCTTTTGTTCCTCAGTATCTCTTACACAATAAACGTTCTTTGTCTTTCATACACATAAATTGTAAATCCACCTTGTTTTATGCATGGTGGACCACAAATCAGGATCCATAGACCAAGCACAACAGATATTTTGTTAATTTTTTTCCAGAAAAAAGTTACTGTACTTAGGAATTTTCAAAAGTCACACATCATAAAAAACAAGTATTTAGAAGAAAATGGCAACCAATTCAATCATTTATACAATATACTGTCTATTGGCCCTCCCTTATGTATATACCTTGATATTCTCTACTTCCTCTTCTACATCAAAAAATATCTACATTCCCATACCTAATCTGTGTGTATATGTATCTTAAAAACAGACGAATGATTCCTGGGTACATCCATAGTAAAAATAAAAGAAAGTGAACACCAGGAAGAATTAAAAAACTATAAAAGTTTTAATAAATTAGAGTCCAAGCTTTCACCGGCCACTGCCGGCATCATCAGGGATCTATGCAGTGTCAGAACGCCAATTGGCCGACGGAATCCCATGACAGCATCCATGGGTCGGGTGCAAAAGTAGTTTGACCATAAATAAGCGCTCCCATTAACCTGCATAGATCCCTGATGATGCCGGCAGTGGCCGGTGAAAGCTTGGACTCTAATTTATTAAAACTTTTATAGTTTTTTAATTCTTCCTGGTGTTCACTTTCTTTTATTTTTACTATATATATATATATATATATATATATATATATGTGTGTGTGTGTGTGTGTGTGTGTGTGTGTGTGTGTGTGTGTGTGTGTGTGTGCGCGCGCGCGTGCATACACACATATATACACACACACATACATACATACATACATACAGGTAATGACTGAATTATGGTTGAAATGCTGAAAGCTGGTGGTCACAGTTTACACAAGATACTAGCAAAACTATACTAAACATGCCTCAGAGGGGGAAAAATACCCAATGTATGGGAAAATGCTTATACACAAGAAAGGGAACCGAGATGATTTAAAGAACTATTGCCCAATAAGCCTTCTTTCAGTCATCTACAAAGTTTTCACTGAGATAATAGCAAAAAGAATACTGAGAACATTAAATGATGAACAGCCAAAGGAGCAAGCAGGGTTCAGAAGTGGCTATAGCATAACGGATCACATCCAGGTTGTTCAGCAAGTCATTGAAAGGCACAATAAGTACACCATGACTCTGTGCATGGCTTTCATTGACTATGAAAAAGCGTTTGATTCAGTATTCCAGGAAGCAATAATTAATGCATTGCTCAACTAAGGCATAGACACTGGTTACATAAATGTACTACAACCAATATATGAAAAAACAATGGTGATAATTTGCTTTAATGATCTTAAAGTGGAAATCAACATGGAACAAGGTGTATGACAAGGTGATACAATATTACCTATCCTTTTCTTAGCCTGCCTTGAAGTATTTCGTAAACTAGACTGGACAAAAGATGGAATAAAAATCAATGGCACCTATTTAAATCATTTAAGATTTGCAGATGATAATGTCCTCTTCTCCCAAGACCCAAAAGAGCTACAAAGACAAAGACAAAAGCTTCAGGAGAATCATTTAGCTTAAAAATAAATCTGAAAAAGAGCCACGTTATCTTTAATAAACTCACCAAAGAAAGAAAAAAATGTATCAGGAGAAGAACTAGCCATAGTAGACCACTACATATACCTTGGTCAATGGATCTCAATGGAAGGCAATACATAAAGGAAATTGAATGGCACGTTAAATGTGGTTGGCAGGCATTAGGCAAGCTAACCATAATTTTCAAGAACAACCTCCCCCTATGCCCGAAAAGTTTTCAATCAGTGTGTGCTACCTGCTCTAAAATAGGCCAGTGAAACATGGACACTAACCTCACAATTGATACAAAAGCTACGAGTGGCACAAAGAGCCATTGAAAGATACATGCTTGGCATCACAAAACAAGATAGAAAGACCTGTAGATGGATTAGAGAACAAACGAAAGTATACAATATCATTGAGAGTAAAATAATTGAAATGGAAATGGGCTGGTCACGTAGCAAGACGAACTATGGCAGATGGACCAAAACAGTCTAGATCCACTTGATAAAAAGCATTCAAGAAAGAGACCTAAAAGAAGATGGATCGATGACATCAGTAAGTATTAAGGGCCCAATTGGCAAAAGAAAGTTCAGGACCGTATAGATTGGAAACATGCGGAAGAGGCCTTCACTCTACAGTGGATAGACAATGGCTAAAGTGATGATGATGATGATGATATATGTATAGTATAGCAGTCTCATCTTCGCACATTTTCCTCCTTCCTCATACATACATTTAATTCTCTCTTGATTCTTTATATATTCTACTGGTCTCATGTATTAAATTTACTGTGAAAAATAAAACTCATACTTCTTGATAACTGCTGCTTTATAGTCATCTGTTGCTGCATGGTCAGCTGTAAGGAAGAAAACTATAAACTATTTTTCATATTTCTATCCTTAATTTTTTCATGACAGTACTGAACTTCATTTGGATAAGGAGATATATGATTTCAGCCGTATTTTCTACTGTTTCTTTAAATGTGAAATTGTGAATATTTTCTTCAATGTTCTTATTGAAGAACATTGATAAGATTTCCAAGGCATAAGCATTATACAATGCTTATAAAAATATAAAGCCCTTTTTTATTGTCTTTTGGGATTAAATAACAAAAAAGGTTTCATGAGTATTAAGACCTTTCTCTTGCTATAATAAATGTAACAACATCAAAATCTCTTTTTAATCATTGGGAAGTGTATCAAAGTCAAAAAAGCTTTTCTGCATGATATCCTTGACAGCTACTATCAGTGATCAAAATAAGCAACAAGCAGGGTTGGTTATTTAAATACAACTGTATCATGTATCCTGTATTCTAAGAGATAATCTTCAGTCACCAAACAATGTGTCCGAATATGTTATATGTAGTGTTTTTAATAGTTCAGTACTCACCTCGAACTATAAGAGTTGCAGATGTCTCAACTTTTCCAACTCTGTTTTCAGCTATGCATGTATATGTTCCTTCATCTGAGCTCATAGCCTTTTTAATGCGCAAGGTGTAATCATCTTTGATATCATATCTGCTTTTGGAATAGAAAAGAAAATTATACCAAGTTTAATTTTTCACCTGGAATGCTGTCATCATTATTCTAACACAGACACATCTCTAGAAGATAATTTATTATATGAAGTGACATAATTCCACTAAAAATTAATCTTCATGACACTTTTATTGAACCATGTACTACTTAAAGCTTTACAGCCATAAAATTAGTATGGCTATGTTCACGTCACATTAAAGTCATATTAGGCATATCACTTATACTGTTCTAAACCACTATAATCAGATAGCACTGTTATCTGTATATAATATCCCAAGTTTTATTCTGATCTAACAATATGAAATATACCTATCAAAACATTTCAGCTCTTCAATAACTTAACAAAGTTTCATTAAGGGGAATTTTAGACTTTAAGCAAGCAAAATAAATGAAAGATCTGTAAGATTTCTGTGCATGCTAAATGTTCTCAGCAAAATATATAGAGCAAATGTCTTTAGGGAAAATATGGTATTTATTTAAATTATTGAAAATGATTTCTTTAAAAAATGTTTTGTAAACAAGATGGCTTTATTATAAACAATTATTTGAATTCAGTATTAATTTTAAAATATAGGCATACATAATATTCATCTAGCATTATGTGTTATAGACAATATCACATAATTTGATACACTGAAAATGAGTCCAATTGGTCCAATTTGTACTATAATAGCTTTCAAAGAATACAAAGTTATTTTTATTATCAACATTTTTCACACTAGTAGGAATAATGTAAAGTTTCTGAAGTTTGTATTACATTTTGCTCAAATTCTTTGGTTTAAGGTAAATGGGAATTAGGGATTTTCCTGTAAAAAAATCTATTATTATTTTCCCAGGGAATCAGGTTATTTTAATGTACAGTTTTTAAAAAAAAACACATCACATTTTTATTAAAATATATCTAGCACAATTGAAATGGCGTACTACCTATTAGTAGTCTTAAAAGTTATCATTGTGAAGGGTGGACTTTGTTCTTCCTTGAGCAGATAAATTCTAATTTTTATTCTTCCACACTTACAAACTATGTAACAGCACATGGAATTAAATATTCCACTACAGATAATGTCATATTTATATATGCCCACCAAATATTTTCAATTTTGGATATGATATTAGAATGACATTATAATATGTTCTTGCTTTAGTTAGAGCAAAAATGATCTGTTCACAGTAGCCATTCTAGTATGTTATGGAGAAAGAATAGAAACTTTTAAAGGGAATATACAGTGAGGCTTTAAAATCATAGAAACCAGACCATAGTGAAAACAGAAGCCAGAATGAATCAACAAAGGAGATAACGGGTTGGAAAGTATGACATAAGGATATTTGATAAAACTGGGGACATGATTCTTTGGAATGCCAACAGGACAGTATTATCAGAACATTGTGAAAAAATGTGAACAATAACATGACAAATTCTCATTAAAAATTAAACAGGAATCGGTTTATCTGACCTATACAAAAATAGTCAAGATTGCCATAACAATGGAGATGTTGTATAAGACCTACAAAAACAAACACATGTAGAAATTGGAAGCCTAGTAGTTCATTCATTATGTTTATGTTTCATGTATGTGGTACAGATTAATTATAATTCTGTGAGATTAATATTTAAAATAACAAATATGGAATATGTATCCCCATGCTTACAATTTTTTCATGTATGTTATTAATCCAGAAGTAAATTACTCCCAGATAATATTCTGCTCTGTTATTTTTCACAATGATTTTAATATATTTATGGTTCAGGTTCATGGTAATAAACTGAAAATGTTAGTTCAAATTCTAAGCAATTGGGGGAAGAATAGCTATAGCCACAAAATTTGACAGAACCTTACATAATATACTTGAAAAAGAATACTAAACTACTAATACTAAGCTTATATGTTGTTCCCTGTTTAAAAAAAATAGTATATTGAGGTATAGAGAAGTGATTGTCTTCCACTATGAAATAGGTTGTGGCACACATTCATAAGGTTACTTAGAAAATAAAAGCAGCATATTATGAAATTATTTATTTTGCTTAAATTAATTGTAATATTTAGTTTTATAAGAGACTGTAAGGGATTTCAGAATTAGAAATTATTATATCAATCAGCAAGTGACTTTTTAGACAGTCTGATGTTGAGTAGATTTATCTCAACATGAAATGTGGAAATATTTACTATTTTTGGATAATTATTCTTATTATTCACAAATGTGAATTTGCATTAATCTTAAAGCAAGATAGGTTGTTTGTAGTGGGGGGAACCTGTTTAATAGGACAGAGTACTTAATTAACTGTTAAAAGAAATAATATAGCTTAATTTGTCAGGAAATCAAGGAACCAATTTCACTTTATTTAATTTTATGAATTTAGACATTACATCAAATTCAGTTATTCATGGCTGAATGGACTAATTAAGTCATATGAAATTATTAAACATGTTTTAGATGCTTAATACTTTAGTCTTTTTTTTAAACACATATTTGTTTTACAGTTTTCAATTATAGTTCAGCAGCTTAGAACAAGGTTGGTCATCTGTAGAGCTTTACAATATGGCAGTTTTAATTCTATTATCTATTGTTATTAATGTTGTACCTTGTGAATAAAGAAAAATATAACATCTAAAATGGTAAAATATCACTAACTTTACAATCATGGATTTATAATGTGCAGCAGCGAGTGCTCAAATAAAGAAGCAACAGAAAAAGTCTTTACATTTTACTTTACATTCTTTTAAGAATAAATGAGATAATTATATTGGGTATAAAATAAACAATAGTAAATTGAGATAACAATAATAGACAATGCAGAAAAAGCTTTCCAAAACCAGCACTGGTTTTGGCCACATGTACACAACCATATACACAACTAAAATAAGTTTGTCTTTCATATTTTTTTCCTGAATTTTTTCTTAGCTTTTAAATTTATAAATGCATGCAAGAAACTGTATATTTAAAAACATGAATATTAAAAGTCTTGAATTAAAATATGAATTTAAGAAAATTCTTACAAAATATCAAATTACAAAAAATTCTTACAAAATAATGCCTTGGTAAGGCCACACTTGGAATACTGCATCCAGTTTTGGTCATCACGATGTAAAAAAGATATTGAGACTCTAGAAAGAGTACAGAGAAGAGCAACAAAGATGATTAGGGGACTGGAGGCTAAAACATATAAGGAACAGTTGCTGGAATTGGGTATGTCTAGTTTAATGAAGAGAAGGACGAGGGGGGACATGGTAGCAGTGTTCCAATATCTCAGGGGCTGCCACAAAGAAGAGGGAGTCAAGCTATTTTCCAAAGCGCCTGAAGGCAGGACAAGAAGCAATGGATGGAAACTAACCAAAGAGAGAAGCAACCTAGAACTAAGGAGAAACTTTCTGACAGTTAGAACAATTAGCCAGTGGAACAACCTGCCTCCAGAAGCGGTGAATGCTCCAACGCTGGAAGTTTTTAAGAAGAAACTGGACACCCATTTGTCCGAAATGGTATAGGGTTACCTGCCTGAGCAGGGGGTTGGACGTGAGGACCTCCAAGGTTCCTTCCAACTTTTTATTATTATTATTATTATTATTATTATTATTATTATTATTATTATTATTATTATTATTATTACTACTACTACTACTACTACTACTACTACTACTACTACTACTACCTTTGTAATGGGAAACTTTAAAAAAGAAGATGTAAAGATATATGTTACTGTATATTTTTGGTAGGAAAGAAAGGAAATCTTAGTCCCAGGAAGAACTGTAACTGGAGTAAGCATCCTAGTCAAGATTATCTCTAGTTCTCAGAAGATGGAAAAAAGTAAGTGGGCATAGAAAATTCAGAATTGCAAGTTTCTGTTACTATAAACCTATAAAATAAAGCATACCATATGTAACTTTGGTATCCTAGGCTGGTCCTTGGAGGATTTACAGGTAGACTTGAGTGAGTATTGTACTCTGAATTATACAACTGAACTGTTTTTCCTAGCATAGCTCCGTCTATTCTTCCTAATCACATATTCCTGATTTTGTGTATCTGTGTATGAGATAGTCACTCTTATGAGAGCAAAGATAACCATTTTTTATTTATTTGGGTAGCAACTATGTGTAATTAAAAAGCTTTTTTTTAAAAAGGTCATTTGTCTGACTTATTTTTTTCCAAAGTCATGAGCCATGGAATTTCTAGTCAAAAACCTCTGTTTTGAAAAACAATTACATAAAATAGTCAAGAGAAGAAGTATTGATTTCAAGGAAACTTATTTGTACATAGTTGTACATTAAATTTATTTGAATTGACATAAACAGTACTATCAGATAAAACAAAATATATGTAATAGCCATCGTGCCTCAGTTACTACTAGATTTCAAAACATTATAAAACATTGCATAAGAATTTTTTTTCTGCATAGGGAACTATTTAAAAAGTAATTTAAATTTAAAGGAGTAGGCCGAATATTGTCAAACTATGCTTCTTTAAAAAATGACTGGAAAGTATTAAAATATAAAAAGCAATGGTTTGTAGGTCCAAAATCCCATTAGGGTAATAATTTTGGAAAAAATATTAACAATTCAATTTTGAAAACTGCATACCATTTGGGTTTTAATATCCAAATGCAATTAATATTTTCATATAACTGTTTTAGCAAACAACATATATTGCGAGCCAGGGAAGAAAATCATTAAAAAGCATAAAATATTAAAGATAATACTTGTTAATATTATTACAAATGGACAACGAAGCAATAGAAAACTTATATATCCATGTACTACTATTATATTTATACACTTTAGAAATCATGCTTTCATCAATAATATGCTTACTAGCAGAGCTTTAAAAATAATACCAAAGAATGTTTATGTAAAATAATTTGTTATGGAGTTTTCTGTTATTTTCATTGTAAATGACACCTACCAAATTCCAAATTCCAAATTCCAGTAAAAGCATAACTATTTTTTTCAATCCTCTTAGAAGCACATTCATCTGAAAGCCTATATTAC